CTCAAACTACTACCCCGAGGGAGGCCGCGGGGGGATGGAAAGAACGGCGGAGGCAGCGAATTCCGACGGGAGGGAGGGGCGGTGAAGGGCCAGGCCCCGCGGCGGGAGGGGCGGTGAGGCGGCCGGGCTCCCGCCCACCGGGGGCGGCGACCGCGCCGGGAGGGGAACCCCCGGCGGTCCTCGACACGTGGCCGCCGGGCCGGACGGGAGACCCCCGGCCGGGCTGTCCTTACTTCCCTCAAAGTTGTAGCGATGGTGGGATGTGGAAATGAATAGTGAGCGCCTAAGTCCAGCCCTTGGGTTTCCGACTCTCCCTTGCTTTTCTTGGGTCCTGATCTTTTTATGGGTAACGGAGGAAAGTGTGCATGTTAGGTGATGGGTGATGAAGCAGGGCCTCCACTGCCGCGATTTTAAAGAACTACCGCGTGTAAAGCGCTTATGTGAGCCATTATTAACAAAAGATTTTCTTGTGTACTTCAAGTACGGTTAGAATTTGGATGGTTATTTTGACCAGTTTTTTATTTGGGGAGAATTGATCCTAATCAATCTAATCCTCTAGACGGTTCTAAGAAATAAAGGATTTGGCCTGAAATGTCTTTAATTTTTCTAAGACTTCTATTGCTTTCTTACAAATTACTTCCCTTATTGAAGTTGCCAGAATAAGATACTTATCTGGCTGTTTTGTTTTTAAGCTGAGTGGGGGTATGGAGGAAGTATGGGGTGGAATGAGGCCTTAATGTAAGTTTGTAGCCTGCTGCCTTGTCAGTGCCCTCACTTCTCCCTCAAAAAAAGAGGCAGTGAAGGGAGGCGGGGAATGAGGAGGCCCTGTCTGGGAGGGCTGGGCTTTCGGAGTACAGAAAGAATGAATCGGGCACAGGATGTCCTCAAGGAGCCCTTATTGTAGACTATCACTGTCCGGTTAGTTCTGTAAGGACTGCGCTTTAAAGTCTCACAACTTACACGGCCTGTCTGGTTTCAGGAGAGCTGAGCTGTAAAATGAAATTGGCCATTTTTGAAAATAGCATTAAAATATTTCAAATTAGTATTTAGGTTCTATTTTTGTCAGCTTTAATTAATACTACTTATGTATTTACTTAGGAAGTGATAGACCTTTGATTGGATAAGGGAAAAACTTTATATGTAGAATAACTTATTTAAAACTGATGGGAGGTAAATGAGGTTTACAGTGATCTTCTGGGACTATTAAGTCTCATGCTTGTTCACAGTTGCCGGAGTTCAAATTAAGGGCCCAAATCTAAAATGTGTGATTTACTTCTTAAGACTGGTCCTTTGGAGGATAGATGGAACTAAATATTTGGTTGGTCGACTTGGACATCTATCATTATAAAAACCTTGACTTCATATATTGTTTTTTCAGGTTAGTGGTATGTTAATTTGATAAATAGAATTTAAAAAAAAATTCACCATACCAGTTTGAAAATCTTTGTAAATTTCATCTGTTGCAAAGTACCTATTTTTGATATTGGGCCTATTGACAGAAAATTATTAAGCTAATAAGTTACTAAATGTGGCCCATGACTGTTCTCATCCTGTAGAGATTAGAGAAGACAAAAAAACTCAACACTTGTACCAGAACTAATTTAATTCAAAACGCTATTGCTCATTTTATTATTCAACTTTCCCATAGTCTGTGGGTGACTGATTTGATTCTAAACTCCCAAAATATATTCAATAGAGTCCTTTTGTAGGAAAAGGTGCTAAAAGAGGCAAAATCTGTTTGACTTCAATGTATGAAGATGATGTCAAAAAATTACTTCGTTCATTTTTTTGCTTTGTTGTAATTTTGAAATATTAATGAAAGATAAGATTAGAGGAAATGAATCTTGATCAGTTTTGAAAACTAATGATCCATCTATTCAGATCCTTAAGTCTAATTAAACCTGTAATTAATTACTTTTGTGTTCCCAGTTGATTCTTTGAGTAAATATGTTAGCAGCTATTTGGACTTGTACCTTATATCTTGAGCCAAACAGGCAAATTGGTTGTCTGAATATAAAATGTCAAATTGTGATGAGTGCTAAGAAGAAAAAGAAAGTGGGGCAAGTGAGGGATAGAGTAGTATTTATAACATTTGTTCCATGAAGGATCCTGTTATAATGGTGATATTAAGTCCCATTTCATACTAATTTCATCTGAATAAGAAGTTCTCTCCTTGTTGGGCAGAGTAGGGTTTAGAAGATGAGTGCTGTTTGTTCACTTATCCTTGTAAGTTGTTTATTTAGTACATTGACAGCAGACCACTAGATCATATTAGTGGGCTTCCCGCAGAAGGTGCACTCTAGGGCCGGCCCCGTGGCTTAGCGGTTAAGTGCGTGCGCTCCGCTACTGGTGGCCCGGGTTCGGATCCCGGGCACGCACCGACGCACCGCTTCTCTGGCCACGCTGAGGCCGCGTCCCACATACAGCAACCAGAAGGATGTGCAGCTATGACATACAACTATCTACTGGGGCTTTGGGGGGAAAAATAAATAAATAAAATTAAAAAAAAAACTAAAAAAAAAAATGAAGGTGCACTCTACTTCTGCTTACCAACTCTGCCTTTTACTGCTACATGATTTGATACATTTTTACTTTCTCAGAAGTTTTATGCATTTTGATTTTTTATTGAGAAAGGGGGCTGTAATTTTGAATTGTAAGGTAAAGAGGATACAGAAGAGCACAACCAGGGTAAATAATATTAACAGCACTTAATAGATGATTGTTCAGGCAATGTTTTGAATTATTTTACATGTATTATTTTTTTTAAAACTTTTTATTTATTTATCTTTTTCCCCCAAAGCCCCAGTAGATAGTTGTATGTCATAGTTGCACAGCCTTCTAGTTGCTGTATGTGGGACGCGGCCTCAGCATGGC